TATACATAATAAGAGATCTATATTTTAATTATCGTGATTGTTAGCATTGTTTTAGCTTGGCACTGTGAGGCAATTCATTGTTGATAGCATAGATTAGACCTGGCAAATTGAGGGAGAGTTACTATAATAAAAAATCTATTGTTGTTTGCTTTGGCCAATTTTGTTTACTTCTTGAGGAGGGGAGAGAGGAAGGGAGGGAGGGCGGGCGAGGGGGGGGACCTTGTCCTATTCAAATGAAGCCCTAATAGGTTGTATTAGCTTCTTCCTAAGAGCTAGAATGAGAGCCTAATGAGAGAGAAGGGTTAAAATGAAGTCTAACTCATATAAGGTCATTTTAGGTATTATGAAATAAGTATGACCTAAAACTAACTTGACTTAAACAATAATAGGTACCCAGGGGGTGTGTTTGCACCAAAAATATGACGGACAATAAGTGCAACTTAGTGATACTACATGGGTAATAAGGTCATTTTAATCTATAAGCTTAGTAGATTTAAAAATATTTGTTAATTTTAATTTATTTTTTTAATTTTGGGAGGGGGCATTTCACTATAGCACATAACTTGGTTTTTAGTATAATAGTATAGATTTATGTGCATGTGCAACTGTACATGTGATTCAATCCACGTGTTAATGATACATAGGGTCAAATGATTGCAGGGAAGGGGACAAAATTATTATTTTTTTTGGGGGGGTGAGGGGTTACATTTCACTGTAGCAACTATTAACGTGGTTTTTAATATAATCGTATATATTTATGTGCATGTGCAACTGCACATGTGATTCACTCCAATTGTCAATGCTATATCCTTACTATTTCCACTTTTCAAGTTTGCTAATACCACACCTCCCTCTTCATTAATTTACATAAAATTCTTTTCCCCACGTGCAAAAAAGATGTCCAACATGCTCCTTCTCTCATCAAATAAAGTATGTGTGTCTATGTAAACTGCTTTCATAATCACATGGAGTAACTGGCTTATATGCCCACTCTTTAGAACACATTTGATGGAACAAAGTTGTGTAATCCAGTCTATCTTGATCTGCATGTTTTCAAAGCTCTATAATAAATCACGCGTTTAAAGGTCATTTGCCCATGTATTGAGTGCTTGCACAATGAACAGTTACTGACAGTACAAAAGTTTATTCTGTGACTTGTGAGTTTAGTTATTTTAAAAGAAGGGTTCATTACATTCACCTAATGCATTTAGTTATTTCATGGAACAAAGTTTTGTTGTCCACCCTAGCTTCATCTGCATGTTTTCAAAGCGCTATAATAAATCATGCATTAAAAGGTCATTTGTCCATGTATTAAGTGGTTGCACGATGAACAGTTACTGACTGTTTAATTAAAGCGTAATTTTATTGTGAGTTTGGTTATTTAAATGAAGGGTTCATTACATTCACCTAATGAGTTTAGTTATTTCATGGCACAAAGGTGTGTAGTCCACTCTATCTTGATCTGCATTTTTTTAAGGCTCTATCATAATCATGCATTTAACGAGTATTTGTCCATGTATTAAGTTGGTTGCACAATGAACAGTTACTGATGGTAGAAATATTTTTATGACCTATGAGTTTAGCTCTTCAATGAAAGGTTCATTACATTTACCTTGATCTGCATCTTAAAGCAACTAAACGAGCAATCATGTGCAATGTTTTAATAATCGGCCGATTTTATCGATTTATTGCTAATATATTGGGTTTGGGCCCTAGCCGATACGATTTCTGCAAAAATTTACGGCATATCATTTTTAGTCGATTTTCCCGATATATCAGTGTAAATCCGATAAAGTGGCCGATTTTTTGTGGGCTAAAAATCGCCCGATTTTCTACAATTTACATTCTAAGTGAACTGGTTCAGGTTTGGAGACAAAAGCCCCCTTTTTTTCCACACACAATCTGCATCCACTAAATGAAAACAAGCTATCCTATTTTATTCCACATCCACTAAACAGAAACAAGTGATCCCAAGCATTTGTCATTTACATAGTAGTATGCTTATATTTCATTAAATGCGCTTAGATTATATTTTAGGACATTATATTATATATGCTCACCGTCCGATATGACACTCCGATTTTTACTACCTATCCTTGATATATCCCTGATAACTAGGATTCAATATGAATTTTGGCCATCTGTTATATTTCTGATAGCAGATATTTAAAACCTTAATTATGTGGTTTGAGAACTCCTAATCCATGGGTCATTTAATATCATTTTAATTTTATTGTTGAGAGATTGTTCATTTTTCAACTACTTGATGCATGGTTAAAGAACCTTCAAAATGTATGATCTCTTGTCTGTAGAGTTTAAAAAATGCAGATCAAAATGAGCAGAATAAATTTCCATAACGTGCACTATGATAGGTGGACATGACTAAGCTAGTGATGGCCTAGGAATATTAATGCCTCTTGTTGTGTGAGAGAATGTTTACATGCATATTTACATGTGTTACACATACGAGAGTGAACATTCATAGTTTCATACATATGTTCCTTCATGTGTACACATAAAAACATATGTATCTATGAACAAGGTATGTATGTGTACATGTGTGCGCATATATAGTGGATACTTATGAAATCAGACTCTATGTGCAGGCATAATTTATGTTTATATAGCGAACATTTTGCTTTCTAAGTTTACATACATCTACCACGTTTGCATGAACATGAACAGTCACGTGTCTTTGCTTTGTTCTAAGGTTTGAGAGAGAGAGACCACTGCTAGAAAATGAACTATTGCCGACGGAACTTTAGCGACGGAAAATTCCGTCGCTATAAGTCACATTATAGCGACGGAATTTACCGTCGCTAATTTTCCGTCGGCAAAAAAGTTATGCCGACGGAAATTTCAATATTAACGACGGAAAATTTCCGTCGTCATTAATTTCCCGACAGAAATTTTCTGTCGGAAAATTTCCGTTGCTAAAAGGGAATTTAGCGACGGAATATTCCGTGGCTAAAACTCAAAAGTGGGAAATTTTTTTGGGCGCGGGCGTTTTTCTCTCCGTTCTCCCCAAAAAATTCATCCCACCGCCAAAAATTCATCCCCGAAAATTTCGTCCCACCGCCAAAAAATTCATCCCAAAAATTTCATCACCCTCTCAAATCCCTAATCCCCTCCACCCCGCACCCTCTTCGTTGTCATCTCCTTCGACCGAGTACCGCGAGAGAAGCAGCAGCAGGAGGAATGGCGGGATCTCCGCCATCATCGTCCTCCTCCTCCTCTTCCTCGTCGGCGAACCCATCGTCATCTTCAGGTCTTCCCCCGCCTCCTCCGTCTCCCCCCAAGCCCTAACCGTAGCTCGCCTCCGCGACCCCGCCTCCTTCCTCCGCCGCTTTCCCGCCATCTTCAACCCTCGATCCTCTGGTCGCCCCTGCTCCCTCTCCGCCGCCGCCCTCCGCTTACGCGAGGAGGAGGTACGAACCCTAACCCTAGGTGAGCCCGTCTCCCCCCAAGCTTGTCGTGCATGATATGACTGAAGCCTAACCTTGATTAAATTCAGTTAAAAACTTACCGAGCGCGAGCTTCTATTTCAACTCTTTAGGTTCAATAAAATGTGGGCAGATGTTTCATAGCTTTTATTCTACTGGCCCTTAATATGTAATATGAAGACAAATTTGATCATTTTGGTATTTCTGTGCTGAAGTAGAGCAATCAAATACACCTGATTTGGACTTGCGGAAGAGTATAACAAAGCAGCAGATATGAAATATAGCATATTTCTCCCTTCATCAAGGTTCCAACATAAGTTTTTCTTTAGAGTTTGGATTTCTTTACTTGTACAGAGTTACCAGGTCTACTTATATTCATCTCAAGAATACACAGTAATCAGACAATCATTGCCATCCTGCTGTGTATTTATTCAATGGAGTCTAGGGATCAACCTCCATACACCTGTTGGATCACCAAAAAGTTACATGGCTAATGTAAGATAAAATTAAGGAAGTATTCATATGCCTGATTGAGATGGTGGAGATAGAGTAGAATATTGGGTCAAGTCCAGTGCACTTGCTTGCATATCATCATAATTAAATATCATTGCATTTTAAATAGGTAGCAAAAATTACTTATGCTGCCTGATTCAAGTAGACTGATGATTACTATAATCTTGTTATGGACCTTATAGGTACTGGATCCACAAAGGAGTTCTGAAATGTCAACCGAATGGATGCTTGTCATTATCTGCACTGCTATCTAAAGTTTTTAGTAATGGGTCAAGCTGGGAAAATTAGATGATAATCAGGAGCATTCGTTGGCTATTTATTATTTGACATTGAGGTGCTACTGTGAAGTTGGATGAACTTATCTGTTTTGATTAGAAAGTTGTAGCTGGAATTGATGTATTTATAGGAATCTGGGGGACCTCTAAAGAATGCATACTTGAGAGCAGTGTTGATTCCAGTAGATTTGGCAATATGGATACATTTGGGCAAAAAAACTAGAGACTGAAAGTGATGTGCGAACATGATTGGGAATTTTCGAGCAGCACACTTGGCCTTAGGTTTATATTACAGTTTGACTTCGACTATATTTACTGAAAATTAAATAAATAGCATCTTTCATGTGATATTTCGCTTCTAATTGCAGTTCACAACTTAGCTTAAAAATCAATATGTTCTGCCATTTTTCCTTACTAGCCTAAATCCTAGTGGTACATATCAGCTAGCGAGTACTTTCCCATGGCTTTTATGCATTTAATGGAGATCTAATTTTCAGAAAAGTTATGATTAACTAGCTGTGATCCTATGTCCTCAGTACTCAGCGAGTTGCATGCTTTATTTGAATTTCATATTCATCTTTCAGCTTATTATTAAAGTAAAATTATTACTAACTGTTTGAAGCTCTTTATTTCTTCATTTAGTAGTTACTCCAATATCTTCATGTGTGCCAACTGTCTACTCCTTTATTTCTAGCCAAAAACTGTTTTTCAGATTATTTTCCTTCCATTTTGTTACTTCCTGCATTTTAACATGAAATAATGTCTGTAGGTTGGACCTTCATTTGGTGGGCATCAGCATGTTTTTAACGCACAGTCTGCACAATTACAGTCTTCCCAGGCATATATCCATCCTAGTGGTCCACTGGTACGCTACTATCCATTATCTTCAGGATCAGTTTCCATATTTTAAGCTTAAGCATTTTAATTTCTTATTCTTTGAGATTGTATATCTTCTCAAGTGGTTTGCCCTTTTGTAATTATATCGATGTCATTTCATTGTCATTCACAGTACGGTCAGCAGGTGATTCTTGGACAGCCACAACCTGTTTATTACATGCCAACATATCCACCCGTAAGTCATCTTTTGTCATTTAGTTGCTTTAAATTTCTCGTTTTAATTCAACTGTAACTACTCCTTTTTCGAATTCAAGTTGCGGAGAAAATGTTGCATAAACTTTCTCCATATTGCACTCTGATTAATCTTCTATACATTTTTTATATATGGCAAACGATGGTTGCAGAGAGGCATAAGTATTTAGTGATTTGCAAAATATATATACCAATTGTCTTTTTCTTTTTCAAAACACAAAATAGTATTATTGCTAAGTTCATGTAATATGTTTATTGGTCCACGTACGACATGCTCCTTGCTTTATTTGAGGTAAGCTTGGTTAGAAATTCATTTATTGTGGATAGCTGCCATTGTTTGAGATCAATTTCTATATAGAAAAATTTTGTAGCTAGTGTGAAGTTTCTGAACTTTTAAGAACTTGGAAATGGATATACGAATGCTGTTAAAAAGATTGACCGGATATGGAATTGTTTGAAAAAAGTGTTGATTGCAGGAGGCACCTAAATTAAATATGTGAATCTGGAGGTGTGATTTTGATTTTAAGCTGATCAAAATTGATGGCCGTTTCCTGTTGGGAATGTCATGTTCATGAAATAAGGAAGAATTCTCTGTAGTTGTCTTTTCTTATTTTCTGATATTAGTCACACTTGAAAATGATAGTTATCTGTGAATTCATAGCGTACATTCATGGTGCAGAAAGTTTTTATTAAAGTGTGCTCTATGTTGTCCATGAATATACACCGGTCTATTATGTTGTGCGCTGCGGAAGCCTTCTAATGCCAATAAATCGCACACACAAGAACCAAAATAGATCACAATAACACAAGCAAACCACCAATCACAGCAAGAACACAAATTTACGTTGTTCGGCAAGTTGCCTATGTCCACGGGGCAAGGAGGGGGGAGTTTATACTATTAGAAATCAAGAGAATACAAATAGGGTTACAAATCTTGCCAAAACTCACAAAATATGCTCTCTAGATCTCTCTCAAAGTCTCCCACAATGGATGCAACAACAACATCTTTTGGCAGCTCAAAACCCTCCTTACATAACCCTAAAATTCGTGGTTAGGGTTATATACAAGCTCACAATGAAACGGGTCTGGAAAACTAAACCTGACCCAAACCCGCATCGTGGTCGACCGGAGAGCACATATCGCGGTCGACCGCAAAAACTCCAGAGAGTTTCCCAACTTCTGGGTTCGGTCGCGGTCGACCGCAGAACCATGTGCAGTTGACCGTCAAAAATCTAGAGCCATGCTACAGTGCTGTGCACGTTGCGGTCGACCGCAGCATCATGTGCGGTCGACCGTGAAACTTCCTGCTTGTTCCCTCATGGATTTTGACGCCATTTCTACATATTAAGCTTTAGACTCCTCACCGCTATATGATAAGTATGCAAAACTGCTGGTAGTTTCTAGTTGCTATCTTTAAGCTGTTCTATTGGCACCAGACTATTAAGCTTTAGAATCCTTATCACTATATGATAAGTACACAAACTGCTGCTAGTTTTTAGTTGCTATCTTTAAGCTGTTCTATTGGTTTCAAGGTTGCTTTCGTGGGACACAATGTCCCCATGATGCTAAAACATTTGAAGAGTAAGTGTAAGAATTTAACGGTGCTTAAAGTTCATCTTTGTAAAAGAGTTCACTATTGCAAAAATTCTGTATCTTCCAATGTTTGTTATGTTCAAGGAGTATTGAGGGCATACTCTTCAAGTTTCTGTGTAATGGCACTAAGTTTTGTTCTACCTTGGACACTTTCTCCAAAGTCAGCACTATATTCCCTCGTAATTAACTCAGTTTTCAACCATCCATTTGTTATTCCTTACTTTTTAGTTTAGTTAAGCCATAACTAAATGACTTAATTATAGGGTTAGTAAAAATTAAATTGGACACATCTAGAAGGTCTCAAATATAGGGCTTCAGTCTGCTTATGGTGGAGATGGATTGGTTGATGTGTTTTCGATAACATTGAACTATGGAGAGTCTTTATTCTCATCTAGGTCATTTGCCGAAGTGTAGAAGGCAAAGTGCGTGCTTATTTTCATTGTTAGCATTGCCAACACAAGCATCATCTAAGCCTTCTCCCATCACTACGGAGTAGACTATTGGCACATAGTTCTATTAAAGATTGGCAAAATTTTATGTCCAGCTTTTAACATTGACATAAATTCTTGATATTGGCGCCAAAATTTTAGTCTGAGAAAATGTCTACAGGGGGACTTCCTTAAATATTAGAAGGCTAGATTGCAAGGAGACCTTATGATGGTGTAATTTAAATGTGTGCCAAGACACCCTTCAGATTCATTCCAGTTTACGAATGGATTGTAGAAAAGGAGTGTAGATGGTATATGTGATAATGGGGCTATTGTTTTGACTACAAGGCATGTCTTCAGCAATACAGATTTAAGTGTTGGTCTGTGAATGTTTTAAGAATATCTTTAATACTAGTGTATGTTCAGAATATTGGGGAAACTTAGACCAGATATGAAACTTGGAAAGGCTGGAGTACCTATCTCTGGTAAGGCATTTGTGTACCTAGATGAATTCCCAAGCTTCCAGTCATCCATAAGAGGACAATAAATAAATAAATAGCTTGAATTCTTTTCATAGAACTAGAAAATTTTGTAGTGCCAGCGGATTGTGTATTTTTCAGATTGGAGGAGAGAATAGGATCATAGCCCAAAATATGCTGAAGAAGCTTAATTAGGCATAACCTATGTTGCATAGACACAGCGAGTTGCGGTCATTCATAATGTGAAAAAACCTATGATATGGATGTGGGTGCATAATTAAACTTGTTACAATGTATATTAATAACGTACGGATTTTGGATTTTATATTGTTTAGGTGTCCGTGCACTTGGAAAGTTCTATAGTCAGTGATGTGATCAACTTTGTGATTAGGTCCTTTTTGTTTAAGCAAAGCTCAGATGAATAATGTTTTTGTCCTATGGACACATCATAAGGCTGCAAATTTTCAGTCTAACACGGTATCATTGTTATGTTCGGCTAAAGCCTGCACCTCCTCTTAGAATGCTTTAGAATTGCATCTTTGTCAACTTCTTCCATTTTCCTACCCCAATTTACCTGGCACATTAGACTGAACTATTTATAGTACTGTTCCGTAACATTGGTAGTCTTTCGTTGTATCTTCCTCACCGCAAGCCTTTATAAGCTTAATTCGGACAGACATCTTGTATATCGCTTTTTTTGAAATTACTGGCCGTCTATAGTTTTATTGTTACAGTAAATCCCCTGAGTGAATTTTTTTTACTCTTTTACACTTAAAGGAAGAAAACTACTTTCAATAAACAGATCCCTGAGGTTCAAAGAGTAATTAAATAAAATCACTCAGGGGTCTATCTGCAAAAATAAAACTAAAGGGATATCAAGTGCAAACAATGATAGTACAGGGAATCTATCCACATTTTACCCTTGTTTGTAACGTCAAACCTTTTAGATCTTCATGTCATACTTCAATTATTGTACAGGAGATGCCATACAAAGGAAGAAATTTCTAGCGCGATCGATGCAGCCGTTTCTGAGATGGAAGATGGCGATGTATTCATATGGCAATTGAACTATTTCGAAGACACGAGACCTTTAGTCCATCATATAAAGATGCAGACGGCCAAAGAAACACCCACCTCAACTTGATATGGAAGATTGGCCTCTCTATGTTCTGCCTGGGTTCTTGTTGGATTCTTCTTCTGAATACTTCGAAGATGTGATTAGTGGTTGCTCACCCAGAATTTTTTTTTTATAAATTGGAAATGAAATGAGAATGTTATAAAGTTTATTGGGTAGCTATTAGAGAAGACTCGAGAAAATGTTGTGTACTTACATAGGCCGGGGCTCTCTTGTACTAATGTTGAACTATCAAATTTAGCTTGCTGGGCATCCAGTCTGTTTTTATTTTTATTCTTTTGTAACTTTGCTTATATTATGTTTGATTTCAATGGGCAGGATAATCAAATTGTATTCTTGTTCTGTTTTTGACTTGGGTTTATTCTATATATGTATTGATTCTGACAACAGTAAGACTTTTTAGTCCCATGTGCTAGGGTTGTTTTGTTAATCTAATGAGAATTTTGAAAGGTTACTTCGTTTGTAGTTTTTTTTACCTATCAAAGTGTCATTTCACAGTTTTGCGCGCGCGCACACACATGGCAAAAATGTTCATAAGGTGGCATCTTAGATGTAATCTAAAACAGTGTCTCCTAAAAACTACATTATATAATATCAAATTCATGTTGATTTACATACTTTGGATTGTATACAAATAAAAAATAAGCCATATTGGGTTCTAGTTAATCATACATCAAGTGATTGTTACATTAACGATTTACGATAATATAACTAAATGAACAATGAAAAATATGTGCTAAAGCACTTAATCATCATGAATTTTGTTTTATAGATATTTTGAGATATTTAGATCACAATGAATGAAGCAGATCATCAATTGAAATAGTTTAATTTATGAATAAAGAGGCGGTACCATAGACATTCATTTAAAAGTCCGTTAGGCAACTCCAATGAGTTCATTCTTTTAGGGTTAATTGCGAACCAGCCCTGTAGTATCACTAAGTTCACTTACCAATCCTCCAGTATTTTTGTTGCACACAACCGAGAACCTAGCACTATGTATACCAAGTTACCTTTAGACTACACTTGTTTTACCACCTAAATGCCCTTATGGAGTTAGACCCCTCTCTCTAATGTATTTTCATCATGAGGCACGCAAACCTCCCTGATCGAGAATTGAGAAGTTTGGTGCAATTAGCACCGATGGCGAAAAAAGAGGGTGAAAGTAATTGGCTTGTGCGATCGGAAATTTAGAGAGGGGAAGGTTGAGGAGGTTAACAGTGGGTTGGCTTTAAGTAGGTTGAGGTGTCGTATGGGCACTCTTTCAAATGGGGGCCAGGTTTACTGACTCTTTTGGGAAGAAAACCTGTTTGGGTAAACCGGGCCAGGAATTGACCTAGGTTTATCGAAGGCAGTTTCACTTTATGTTTTTGTTTTGGATCACCTCATCTTAAGTCCAATAACCGTTTGCTTGCCAGTATTCGTCTTGTCGCATTTGAGTGGTTGCCAACCAACAATCCAAGAACGGAGTTGTTTGGGGAGAGGAAAAAGATAAAGAAGAGTAGGAAATATTAGATAACCACATGAGTCATACATAATAAGAAAGATCTATATTTTAATTATCGTGATTGTTAAGCATTGTTAGCCTTGCAGCTGTGAGCAATTCATTTTGATAGCGATCAGATTAGACCATGGGCAAACTTGAGGGAGAGTTAACTATAATAAAAAAGCTCTATTGTTGTTTGCTTTGCCAATTTTGTTTAACTCTTGAGGAGCGGGAGAGAGGGAGGGAAAGGGAGAGGGGCGGCGAGGGGAGGACCTTTGTCCTATTCAAATGAACCCTAATAGGTTGTATTAGCTTCTTCTAAAAGAGCTAGAATGAGACGTCCTAATGAGAGAGAACGGGTTAAAAATAAGTCTAACTCATAATAAGGTCATTTTAAGGTATTATGAAATAATATGACCTAAAAACTAACTTGACTTAAACAATAATAGCGTACGCCAGGGGGTGTGTTTGCACCCAAAAATATATGACGGACAATAAGTGCCAACTTAGTGATACTACATGGTAACTTCAAAGGTCACATTTTAATCTATACAGCTTAGTAGAATTTTTTTTAAAAAAATAATTTGTAATTTTCAATTTTATTTTTTATTGATTCATAAGGGTGTACCTGTCAAAATGGTCGGAAGAGAAGCCGGGACAAATGGAGGGGTTGGGTTAAGGAGGGGGAGGGTAATAAGGTCCATTTTAATCTATAAGCTTAGGAGATTTAAACAATATTTATGTCATTTTTATTTTTTTGTCCTTTCTAAATTTTTGATTTCATAGGGCATAATGTCAAATGATCAGACAGAAGGCGGAACAATTGGAGGGGGCCAGGGGCCTGGGGTCTCGAGAAGGGGGAGGGGGCCCATTTTCACTATAGCACAATAACTTGGTTTTTAGTATAATCAGAATAGATTGTTATGTGGCATTGGTGGCAACCTGTACATGTGATTCAATCCGACGTGTTACACATGATACATAGGGGGTCAATGATGGCATGGAAGGGGACAAAATATTATTGTTGCTTTGGGGGGGTCGAGGGGTTTACATTTCACTGTAGCAACATTAACCGTGGTTTTAATATAACGTATATATTCATTGTGCATGTGCAACTGGCACATGTGAATTCACTCCACCAATTGCAATGCTATATCCTTACTACTTTCCATTTTCAAGTTTGCTAATCACCACCACCCTCCCTCCTTCCATTAATTTACATCAAAATTCCTTTCTCCCACCGTGCAAAAAAAGATTCCAACATGCTCCTTCTCTCCAATCAATATAACGTATGTGTGTCTATGTCAAACTGGCTTCATAATCACATCTGCGAGTAACTGGGCTTATATGCCCCACTCTTTAGAACACATTTTTGATGGAAACAAAGTGTTGTAATCCAGTCCTATCTTGATCTGCATGTTTTCAATAGCTAAATATAATCAAATCACCGCGTTTAAGGTCCAATTTGGCCCATGTAATTGAGTGCTTGCACAAATGAACAGTTACTCGACAGTACAAAGTTTATTCCTGTGACTTGTGAGTTTAGTTATTTTAAAAGAAGGGGTTGCATTACATTCACCTAATGCATTTAGTTACTTTCATGGAAACAAAGCTTTTGTTGTCACCCCTAGCTTCATCTGCATGTTTCAAAGCGCTATAATAAATCATGCATTAAAAGGTCATTTTCCAATGTATTAACGTGTTTGGCACGATGAACAGTTACCTGACTGTTTAATTAAAGCGTAATTTTATTTGAGTTTGGTTATTTAAATGAAGGGTTTCATTCATTCACCTAAGAGTTAGTTATTTCCATGGCCACCAGAAGGTGTCGTAGCTCCACCTCCCCTTATCTGATCTGCATTTTTTTTGAAGGCTCTATCATTAATCAAATGAATTTAACGAGTATCATTGTCCATGTATTAAGTTGGTTGGCACAATGAACCAGTTACTGATGGTAGAAATATTTTTATGACCTATAGTTTTAGCTCTTCAATGAAAAGGTTCATTAAACATTTACCCTTGATCTGCTCCTTAAAGCAACGTAAAGCACGCAATCAATGTGCAATGTTTAATAATCGGCAGCGCGAATTTACCGATTTACTTGCTAATATACTTGGGTTTGGCCCTAGCCGATACGATTTCTGCCAAAAATTACTGCATATTCAATTTTTAGTCCGATTTTCCCCATATAATGCAGTGTAAATCCGATAAAGTGGCGAATTTTTGTGCTAAAGAATCGCCCGATTTTCTACAATTTACTTCTAAGTGACTGGTTCAGGTTTTGGAGACAAAAAGCCCCTTTTTTTCCACCACCACCCAATCTGCATCCACTAAAGAAAACAAGCTATCCTATTTTATTCCCACATCGCACTAAACAGAAACAAAAAAGTGATCCCAAGCCATATTGTCATTTACATAGTAGTATCTTATATTTCATTAAATGGCGCTAGATTATATTTTAGGACATTATATTATATATGCTCACCCAAACGTCCGATATGACACTCCCGATTTTACTAGCCTTAATCCTGAATATATCCCTGAAACTAGGATTCAAGTATGAATTTTGGCCCATCTGTTATATTCTGATAGCACATATTCAAACCTTAATTATGTGGATTTGAACTCCTAATCAATGGGTCATTTAATATCATTTTTAATTTTATTGTTGAGAGATTGTTATTTTTCAACCTACTTGATGGCATGGTTAAAGAAGCTTCAACAAAAGATGATCTTTGTCTGTAGAGTTTAAAAACATGCAGATCAAAAAGCCAGTCACTACAATTTCCTAAACGTGCACTATGATAGTGGCACATGAATAAGGCTAGTGATGGCCTAGGAATTTAATGCTCTTGTGTGTGAGAGAATGTTACATGCAATTTACAAATTGCTTACACAAGGAGTGAACATCTCATAAGTTTCATACATATGTCTTCATGTGTCAGCACATAAAAAACGATATGTAACTTATGAACAAGTATGTATGTCGTACAATGTGTGCCATATAATAGTGATACTATGAAATCAGACTCTAATGTCAGATAATTTATGTTATATAGCCACATTTTGCTTCTAAGTTACATACATCTTTTACCCTTTGCAGAAAACATGAACAGTCAGCCGTGTCTTGCAATGCGCATGCTTGTGTGTGGCTTAGTTTAACCATGAATTTCTGACTTGGTGGGATCAGTTAATGTAGTCAATTACTTTTTACATCTCTTTATTATTATTCTTTTGATAGGCTCTCAGTGCCGATGTCTGAAGGCTCCTTTTATTATGGTAATTCACCTGCGGTGCCACCTATGCACAGTGTATCTATGAACGTGGGGGTAAGATTTCAATTCACCCATACAGCATCAATACCTTGTGGTTTCTTGCTGTTTCTTTTTCTTTCTTTTTTGGCTCTGACCGTATCGTACCAAAATATTAAACAAGTTGTATTATACTGCTTATATAAGTTTATTCTCTGCATTTATTGTTTAATTTTTATTAATTCATGCGTAAATATATCATTCGGACTTCTTCCTCTGAAGCATAGGACTTTGTTGTACTCTAGCAGATTCTTGAATATTATCTTTTTGTCTCTACTTTAGAATTCCTTGTTGACGTCACTAAGCAGATCACAGTGAGTAAAGACAACGAGGATGATTGCATTCTACTTTCTTCCACGAGTTTAGAAAGTCCTGTTTAGAATGAATGATTAACGAACCATCAACCAGAAAATGCTTCCTATTGTAATCTAAACTGTGACCTTTTGTCTGTCACAAGTCACTTGATCTATGTTTTCGATTTCAAGAGTGAAGTTATAGTGCTGATCGCTGATTAACTGCTAGTGATGCAATTTTGAGTGAACTATCTGGATGAATGTTTGCATGATACTTAATGTATAAAGGTCTTGATC